CTTTGTGTCTGGTTTTTGAGGTACACCAGTGAAGAGTCAAATACTACTTGTTGGGTCACACCTAATGCTGATGACCCAGCTGGAAATACAGGTCAGAGAACTTGACTTTTAAGTTCCCTGTGCTTCTAGTCACATGATCATCATTTGTGATGTTGTAAGTTCTCACAGTGATTCTCCCAAGGAAACATGCAGGAGACAACCTTACCAACCAACTGGACAAGTCAGTGTGTGTTAAATTACTTTCTGAGCTGTGTGTGCTTTCCAGAATTCCTGTTGGCTCTGACTGTGAACGAGTGGCATCCTATTAAGGAGATCATGGTACATTTTGATGGCACTGTGTGTGCATTTTTTAGTTTTATTTATTTATTTGTTTTGCTTTAGTTTTGTGAAAGTTAGTTTGAAAGTAAGTTTCTCATTGGACAATTTCTTAAAAAAATCATTCAATGATGCTAGCAAAATTTATCACAATGTATTGGTATTCTCTTTCATTGTGTTTTGTTGGTTCCATTTTCAGAACTCCAGTGTCTCTTCCCCCTTATATTTAATGTGGAATAACTCTTGACCTTGTGCTCCTCTACTAGTGGTTTCTAAGTAGAGCACCTTTCTTATAAGTAATATCCTTTATTTTGTGTCCAATCTGTTATTTTGCTAAAGGGGGCTCTTGAGCTTATATATGAGCAGAGACCACTTGTCATGTCTCAGATGATGATTGGCAAGTTTATAAGACCCGGGACACTATTCCCTTTACTAGATTCAGACTATGATTTTTGTAAACAGTGCTATGCCAATTGCCTCAGTTCCCCACAAGAGTATGTCCTAAACTTCCAAACACAGAGAGAAAATCTTGAAAGCTATTTAGTTGTACCTGTGGAGCTTCTATGTTTATGTCTTTAATAAACATATGTGTCTACACCCGCATACATGTACGATACTTCTATTTTCTCAATTATTTACACATCTGTAGCTACCCATATAACAACATGCCCATCCCCATTTATATGTGCACAAAAACTTGTTTTTCAGCTTGATGGTATGTGTGTGTATCTTATAACTTCATTTTATTTTTTAATTTGGATTTTTTTTCTTGTTTGTTTGCATTTTACTGCTTTCTTGTGATGGGGCATTTTGTTTTCCTTTTTCTTTTCCTCTGAATTTTTTTCTGGTGAGTTGTTAGTGGCTATCCCAGAAGCTCTGGTGGTTTAGTAGTTACATGTTGGGCTGCGAACCACAAGTACCCCAATTCGAAAACACCAGCTCCTCTATGGGAGAAAGATGAGCCTTTCTATTCCAATAAAGAGTTACAGTCTCAGAAACTCACAGGGGCAGTTCTACCCTGTCCTAATAGGCTTGCTCTGAGTGGGCATGAACTCCATGCCCGTGAGTTAGGTCTTTGGTATATCACATATACCCATGAGAAACATACATTTGCAAAAATGTTTAATATATGAACAATAGTTAACATGTAAGCTTACCATAACAAATTTATTCTTGATATACTCATCATTTCTCCATCTCTTGGTGTCTTTATATTAATATGACATATATTCAGTAG